TAATTAGAAAAATATATAATTTATTGTTGCTTTTATAAAATATAGTTTATATGATGTATATATGGAGATGAGCATACCTCCACTTACAAAATTTGTTCTAGCGTTAGTACAAATTACGCATTCCTAGAAAAAACAAAAAAAAAAGAAAATAAAGGAAAGGAATGTCAGGTAGGATTGTTCTCGTTTAATTGTAAATTAGTTCGGAAAATTGTACATGATATGTGTATATATGATTGAAAACATCTTATAATAAATGGTCTTATGTTGATAAAAATAGATAAATAATTCATTCGCTTGCTAACAGCATGACATTTGGGGGAAAGGGGTCGGATATGGGCTATAATTAACTAGATAATTAATTAATTGAAAGAGAGAGAGAAAGAGAGAGAGATATTTACGTTTAAATAATATTTTAGTATCATCACGTGTATCTCTAAGAATCAACATAAATGTTTAGCCTATCAAATCGCAATTATGTGTGTGTGTATATTTAAATATAAACTAAAATATTTATTTTAAAAAAGAGAAGCTTGAAGCTCTTTCACACATTATGACGTCAGTGTTATGTAAAAGCATGATGCCGACGTGAAACCTGTCAATTACAATGTAAAGGACAAAATATATGTCGGTGCCTGCATTGAAATTTCATAATGAATAAAATTGAAGAGATTTAATTACATATACAGGGTCTTTCGCCTAATTCGACCACCTATCTCATTTATTTTGTACGATAGAATAAAATGTCAGAGTAAACAAATGTTTTATTCGAAGGCGCCGATATAATGAAAGGCCGAATTTCTTTTTCAAAGTCATTTTTATCGATATATTAAGGTCATCGTATTTTTTTTTTTAAATGGGACTGCATATTTATACTAGAATATTCTTATAGCTTATAAAAAAATGAATCCAACGATGTACATGTTGACCATTATGTGACCTTTATCGAGAAAATTGAGAAATGTCTCTTGTACATGAGAAGATTTTTTGCTTGTATAAGTGTCTTGCACGTTGATTTGCATTTGTTTCTCTTCATTAGATATTGAAATTCTTGACAAACATTTCACAATTTTATCGGTAAAGGTCACCTGATGGTCAACATATTGTTGACCGTCTAACGAATCGTTGGATTCGTTTTTTTTATAAGCTATAATAATATTCTAATATAAACATGCAGTCCTATTTAAAAAAAAAAAAATACGATGACTTTGATATCTCGACATAAATGACTTTTAAAAAAAAAATTCGACCTTTTACTATATCGGCGCCTTCGAATGGAACACATTTTTTTTCTCTGATATTTTTTTCTATCGTACGAAATAAACAAGATATTTCAGGTGGTCGCGAATTAGGCGAAAGACCCTGTATATATCAAGCAT